AGCAGTTAAAGGTTCCTAATGGTAGCTCGGGGACACAGCAGACCACTTAAGGGAGTCAGACCAATATTGGCACAATGTTCTTTCTGTTTCCTTATATTATTGTAATTTAATGTTGAGATCAAAATGATCTGGGCAACCTTTAGACCCTTGGGGAAGGTTGAAATCACATATGGAAAAATAGTCATTATCTCAGAGGGAGACTTTTCTATGACAATTTTAATAAAGCCAATTATTTTCTAGAAATGTAGATGCCCTAATGGTGGCGAGGAATTGCATTCAACCATGTTCACTTGTGAAATTCAACCATGTTCACTTGTGTTCTGTGCCTTTGAACATCTGTGTCCTTTAAGGCTTTAAGTCCTAAGAAAGAAATGTAGCTCTCCTTTCTGTGTAGTTCTTACCCTTACAAGGTTAACAAACTGATAACTCCTCACCTTCACTGATGACCAACAGGAATGGAAGTCATGCCATTTTTAATATTAGTAGATGATACAAAGGATTCTTTACTATATTTTAAGGTTTTAAGCAAGAATATTTTTTCTTCAAATTTTCATTTTCACTTCCTTGAAATTGTAAGATGTGTCCCCATGACCACAAGTAAATATTGGTAATATCTGGAAAATGAGATATATGAGCCTGAAACATAATTCATCCAGCCATTTATTTATAGTCAAAAAACTCTGAATAAATTGTTTGGATATATTCTTGGGATAAAATAGAGCACTACAGGGTAATGATAGTTGTATAATTATTTCAGGAGTAAAGAACTAAAAAGGATATGATTTTGAAAATGAGATCCTTACACAGATTTAAATTGTTTTAAAAGTAATTTCTTATCTACACTAAAATGATTTGTGTAATATTGAGAACATTTAATTTGCATAATATTGGGAAAATTTACTTAGCTTCTGTAAATCTTTTTTTTGAAGTTTTACTTGAAAAGAAGAGATGTTAAGACATTTAATCTCTAAATAATTAAGTTTAATATGGTACATAAAACTTCTAGTAGAGTACTTAGCATAGAATAGGCACTGGATCATTTTTACTTTGCTTTGCTTTCTTGGCAGTTCATAGCAACATATATTCTAGAAGCAAGTTCCTTAGGAATCTGATGTTTAAAAGTGGTAGGCGACACTTTCATAAGAGATGCCTTGTTCTGTGGTCATTCAGTAACTAAGCTTTTTCAAAGCTCAGCTCTATTGTGATCATAACTCTGTTTGGAGTCAGTAGCAATAATAATGGCTTTACAAGTCAAAAAGTAACAACTACCATATACTCTCATGCTTGCTGTGTGTGAGAGAAAACAATTGATACTTAATATGTTTTCAAAAATTTAATGCTCATACCAACACTGCAAGACTTATTTAAAAACAAGTTGCATCAGTAAGAGGACCAAGGTCACATCAACGGGGAGGGTTTTTATTTTTAAACGCGAGTTTTCAGGCTGTTTTATGAGATTCAAGAAATGTGTTTTTTTGGAAAAGACTTATGAAACTTTATTATGCCAAATCTCAGTAGAGAGGCCAACGCAGGAGAAAAATGAGGGTGGAATAGGGAAAGGGAGATGGCAATGTGGGGCGGGGGCGGGAAATGAATGAAGGGACAAGACTCTTGTTTTTGTTTTGTGGGACAAGTGTCTATAACCACGGGATCGATGGGCTTATGGAAATACGGTCTTTGGTCTCACGAGTATTTGTCTAGTGATGTTGAATATATCATTGTGTTAAAAGCATCATTGAAGACAAATAGTGCTTGGCCAGCAGCTGGAAAGTTTGGTGAATGAATAAAATAAAGATGCATTATTATATTGTATTTTATAGTAATTCAGAGTTGAAAATTTGCTGGAGAAAGCCATTTCTTTCTCCGTTAAGAAAGTACCTGTGATGATAATGTATCTCCAGAAGGCTGGGTGGTTTGGCAGAGGCCATATGACTGGGGCAGTCTGACCTCAGCTGTAATCGAATCTTCAAGTCATGTCACTCATGTCCCTACCTGTCATCACAGGCTGGCACTCCGTCTCTGTCTCTATCATTGCATTTTCCGTATCACTGTTTGATATTTGTTTTAAAATTAAAAGAAGCATAATACTCCATCACACACACCATGTGTGCCTGCATAGCTGCATGGCTTAAATCTAAGTAGGACTCCCTGTGGCCCCGACTTCTCCCTTGGTAAAGCCTTGGAGCATCTGAATTTCCATTACTTTATTGGTGTGCCTCCTTGATGATAGAGCTTAATTTGCATATCAGTGGTACCTTTTCAGCATTGGTGAGAAATTGAAATGTTCAAGGTGAATTAATCGCTAATGTTTCAAGTTGGCTTGTGCAGCTGTGACAGTGAGGGATGGGGAAGAGGGAGCGGTCAGTGAGAGGCTCCTCTTTTTCCTGGTGAGAAATGATGATCCAGTTACTGAAATCACGCATTCTGTTTCCTCACTGTGCTTCTCTCATGTGTTCATGTTTAAAATTCTGGTCTGTAAAGAAGTGTCAGAAAGCCAGAGAAATATTACCTAATTCTGTATTTTAAAATGTATCCTCATTATTAACTTTAGACCATTACAATGAACTAGAAAGAGCAAGAAGCAAAATAATCAGCATTTTCTCCCAGGTATGTGTTGATATAGGTAACATTCCACATGTAGAAATGTCCGGTTAAGATGATGGCTGGCTGGGGGCACATGCTTCATGCTTTCCCATCTTTTCTATGTGAATAAGTGATAAAATACAGAGAGACAGGCAGTTGCATCAGCAAGAGGACCAAGGGTGCTTGGGTCACATCAGGCCCCAGAAGACTTTCCACTTCCAAATGTTTACTAGGCCCCGGGACAGAATAGTGAAGTTAGATAGGATGGTGGAGGACGCTACGCACTCGCCCACTCCCATCATGTACCCCCAACACTGATCACCCTGGAGTCGGGTCCTAGATAACTGGGGACAACCCATTGCTCTGGAGCCCCTTCCAATTAGCCAACCCACAGGAGCCCGTGAACCTACCTAACCACACCCATTTATTAGCTGTCTCCAACAGCTTCAACTTGTCACCTTTCCCATGGTGCATCTCCCTGCGTGGCTCCAACCTTCTCTTCAAAAAGTTCTGCCTTTCATCTATCAGAGTGTCAGTGTGTGTGTCTGACCTCAAAATAATTTTTAGCCCTGGCTGGTTTGGCTCAGTGGATAGAGCGTTGGCCTGCAGACTAAAGGGTCCCAGGTTCGATTCCAGCCAAGGGCACAGGCCAGGATTGCGGGCTTGTTCTCTTCCCTCCACCCCCAGTAGGGGTCATGCAGGAGGCAGCCAATCAATGATTCTCTCTCATCATTGATGTTTCTATTTCTCTATCCGTCTTTCTTCCTCTCTGAAATCAATAAAAATATATTTAAAAAATAATTTTTAAATCTTATAAAACAGTTAACACAGATGTGTCCCTTTAGATCTCACAGTGGCGTGTGCTGCACTATAATAGCAAACATTTATCGGGCATCTCTTGGCACCAGAGCCTGTACGCTTGGTTATCTGAAATGGCATATATGTCAAGTTTAGTGCTTGAATAAAAACTGTTGTTCAGTTAATGCTAATCTCTATCTAAAATGTCAGACCGTATCAGAGTTTCAGGGTAGATGAAAAATAATGGGGGAAAATAAACATGTATTAATGTTCCTATTGGAGTGTTATATAATAGGTGTTCCATTTTAATAGTATTGAATACTAGATAATTATGGATCCAAATATGTGTCAAACTCTATTTCAGGACATTGACAGTGATTATATATTACTTACATAATAAGCAGTGTCAGTATTACTTAAGATAAATATATTTCCCAAATAAAGTATTATTATTTAAACTGAGGAATGAAACATCTTGAGACATACAGTAGTCACATCTATAATTTTCTTGTGTGCGTTGGCTAAAACAAAGCAATGTTTTGTTCTACAGATATTTCCTTGAATATGCAACAAACTTATATTTTTCACTTCTGAATGCTCAAGCACAACTTGCTCTGTGACCTTTTCCATGATTCTCCCCTCCACCACCACTATTCTTTCCTCTCTCTTCCCAGATAGGATAGAACCAGTGGTGTATTGATAAAATGGCTGGGGTGGGGGCGGGTAATTGAGACTGGCAATTTCTGTGATTTAAAATACTCCTGCCATGGCCACTTGTAAAGATGGCTATGTTTAACAATCGGCTTGCAAATTCCTGAAAATTTAATGGTCTCTTACACACTGTTGCAAGCCACTTTCTACAGCATAGAACTCTCAATCATTTATTGTGCTATTGTTCCCTGCACATGCCCCATCATTAGCATTTTTCATGTTGTGTTTCAAATATGCTTTAAAAAATGTTTTTATTGATTTTGAGAGAGAGAGAGAAAAGGAGAGGGAGAGAGAGAGAGAAACATCGATGAGAGAGAACTATTAATTTGTGCTTCCCGTGCACTGTACTGGGGATTGATCCAGAAATTTACTGTCTGTTTCTTATGTAAGACTATAAACACAGTGAGGGTAGGGATAATTTCTTGACCATCTTTGTATTCCTGGTTTAATGGTGTACTTCCTACTCTAAGGATTCGACATGATCACATGTAGTTTTCTAGTTCCACTATAGTGTGAAGGTATTCCCTAAGTCCAGTTCTGAGCAAAGAAATTAAAGGCCACATCATTACCCATTAATGCATGTGGGTAGTAAACTTGCTATTTCCTAGTGTTGGCAAGAATGTCCACCTGTTGAATTAAGCACTTTAAACATTCAATGAGACCCCTAGTTCTTCCCAGTGTCAGGAGGTTCTAATACCTAGAAATGAATATAAATAATTGACATAGACTCCATTCACTTATATTAAACTCTTGTTATCCCACCACCCCCTACATTTAGGAGAAGTTTTATGCTTTGGATATTTGACTTCTTCAGTTCCATAGAGGAATCAAGTCTTACTAGCATTTCTTTTCCACTAACAGATTTTTAACTAATTTTTTTGGCCAATTTTCTTCTATTTTCACAAAAGGAGCTGGTGGCTGGTCTCCACTTGTGTCAAACAAATACCAGTGGTTACAGATTGACCTCGGAGAGAGAATGGAGATCACTGCCGTGGCCACCCAAGGCGGATATGGGAGCTCCAACTGGGTGACCAGCTACCTGCTGATGTTCAGCGACAGCGGCAGGAACTGGAAACAGTATCGACAGGAGGACAGCATCTGGGTATGTGTCTCCACAGAACGCACAGTCTCTCAGGGAAATAGTATGGTCACCCCAAGAAACAGAATCTTTAGAATTACTTAGAAAATATTTTTCAAGAGAAAATACAGTAATATTTATTTTCTAATACATTTTATGACCTAATTTGTGAAACTACTGAATTTAAATTTATTTCACAGAGTCCTCAGAAATTGAAAAAAAAATCTGATTAGTTCACTAAATAGTGTGAAAGTCTAAGAAATAAAACGCATAAAAATATTTGTTTTTTTTTTCAATAATATAGTAGTTTTGTACTTTTTTAAAGGTTGGTCAAAAGAATTTATTTCTTTTATTTTTTCTGATGACTCTGAGATTTCTGAATTAAATCACACCCCCATCCCCAGTATATGGAGGTTTTTATAGATAATATTGGAGTATTTATAATATGTATACAGATATATGATTTATATATAAACCATTCTCTAGTGATTTTAAAGTGGGTAAGTATGTAAAATGATATGTTTTGTGGACAGTGGCACAGTTCCTATAAGAGAGAGATGGACAAGGAGGCAGTGTGTAAAAACGTGGGTGTATTTATAGTTGACTGTATATAAATGCCTTGTGGAAGAGGGAAGCTAAAGGAAGTTTGCTTGGTGATGAAGCAAGGACTTCTTTGTTGGTGTATAAAAGTCTTAATATGGATCTTACATTGGAAAGGGACAACATACAGCAATCAAAGAACTATATTTTCTCCCTCTGGCTGAGCTGCCAGAACCAGAGAAAATGAGTAACTTAATGAAGCATCATTCTTAGCACACAGATAATTTGGAAACCTATTTGGGCACAGAATGATAATTTTCTTTGATCAGTCAACTGCCTTTCTTTTGAAACTGCCTAGAACTCCTTTATACATTATAAACGCGCTGAAGAAATGGACTATGTATCTCTGAAGCACTTGGTGGCCATTCCTTGCGTTTTATTGATGTAAATTGAATTGAGAACTAGCCCTGTTCTTTCTCTAGAGAGAACAACAGTTGGCCTGGAAGAAGTTGCTTATTGGCATTTTTGAGAAAAGCTGCCTTTAAACCCAAAGCAGGTTGAAATTGTGTATAAGAGCGAGAATAAATGGATATTATGGTTGAATTAATTCCATGAAAACCATTCAAACTAGGGGTAAAATAAACAGCAATTATGAACCAATAACAATGAAAGCTTAATGAGGTATTTATTTTAACTAGAAGTTTGAATAGTTTTTTTACTCTTTTTCTAAATTGAGCATTGGATTTTAAACTAGATAAGGAGTGGCAAAAACATGCTAATATTTAACTGTGTTAAGTAAAATGTGTGTTTTGACATTTTTAAAGATGGTAGATCAACCATGAAAATTGTTTTGCCGTTCCTCAAGCTTGGGAAATGCCAAACCGAGACAGTGCCATTTGCCTTTTTTGGTTACTCCTGTTAAAGGTGAGGTGCTGCAGGTGAAGTTGTGGCACAAATAATACCCTTACCTAATCCAAACCAATCGATGTAAAGACAAATGGCATCTAGCACAATTACCGGTCAAGGTAATATTTTTTAGTACGTACTGTCTTCACCTTTTGAGTCTGAGCACCCTGAAAATAGAGACTGTACCTTCTAACCGTTCATCTCAGCATCATTTCCCAAGTCCTACCTGCACCTGGCATGTTTCAGGAAAATACTGTATGTTTTGTTGGATGAATGCATGAAGGAATGAATGAGTGAATGATGAATAAGTGAAAGACATTTTTTTGTAGGGTTCTTTTATGATTACAGTAACTAAAAGTGACTCCTCCTTTTAGTACATTTACATTGTACCAGTTGAATAAATTTAGAGTTAGGATGGTGCATTTCTCTCTCCCCTATAAATTATGAACTTTTTATTTATGAGGGAGGGTTTATCTTTCTCATCTCTGCATTTCTGGCCTTCATCACCCACTGGGGCACATGATTTTTGTTGAGTGGATTATGGAAAAAAATGAATGAATGTATTTGAATACATTGATCTCCTAACGTGTGCTTAACCTTGTGCAAAATTCTGGGAGGTATTAAAAGAGCTCATGCTAGTGTCAGGAAAGATAAAGCACATCAGAGCAAATAAAAAAGTGATCCAGAGGAGTGTGCAAGTATGAGGTACAGACTTCTAGAGGTTTGGAAATTGCCATAATAGGGAGGTCACTGGGACTGAATTTGTCAGAAGAGCAGGGTTTGCTTTGGTATTGAAAGAAGCATTATGACTTAGATTATGGAAGGATCAAGGAAACTGTTCCATGAAGCTAGACAAGTGTGAACAAACCATGGACATGAGAGATATCCAGTTTCCCATGTACTAATCAGTGAGACTGCTGGTCCAAATGGACTGTCAGGTGTGGGAAGGTCTGGATAATACTTTTGGATGTGATAACAAAAACTTATGGATAGCTTTGAATGTCAAGATCAAAATTAAGACTTGGTAAATCAGTTACCATGACCACACATAAAATAGGTTAGGCTCTGGTGTAGATAGAACCACCCTAAATCCTCAGACCTTGGTGATTCATTCTCTCTCTCTCTCTCTCTCTCTCTCTCTCTCTCTCTCTCTCTCTCTCTCTCTCTCACACACACACACACACACACACACACTCTTGCTACTCTTCATCCCAGGTGGTTGCCGAGTTCTGTTCTCCTCCACACTCAGGCCTCACTCTGAGGGAAGCACACTTTGTGTGTGAACCTGCTGTTTGCCAAAGCAGGAAAAATGCAACTTGGTGACATTCTTACCAGAATAACACAGATCACTTCGATTTGGATTTTCTATTTCCGCCAAAGAACACTTTTCAATTAATGTACATAGTAAGGAATATAGCATTTTACAAATATGTATTTCCTAACTTCTTTTTCTTTTTTGTATTTTTTTGCCTAGTTTTTCTAGATATTATGGGAGCTATAAAAATTAAACAAAACATGCCAATTTTCTTTAAGAGCTTCACAGTCTGCTCCAGATGATACAAATAAATTCACGAAAGAGACTTAGGAAACACATAAGGCATTCCCCGGGTATGTGGTGGAAAGAGAAGAAGAGATAACTGTTACAAATTTAGAAACAAATAAAATAAACCCATCAACATGGATTGAAATGCAGTGAGGATGCCTCTCCTTTGATCCCATTTCAAGCACTAGAGAAACAAAGACTTCTGTGTACCTGAAAGAATTAATAAAACACCTGCTGCTTCTTCCAAATAATCTTTAAAAAGAAGGGCAAAGTATTGTATTTATTATCATACAAGTCATGTGCATGTTTCATAGAACTGTTAACCTGACAGATACATGATATTTTAAAAATTACACCTTAAAATATTTCTTCAGCATAAAATTTATAGTTCAGTGCTCACCAGTATACTTTGCACCAATGGCTTTACCAGATGGCATATAAATATTTTCCAAAAACTTAGAAAATGCAAGCCACTAAAGTGTTCTCAGATTGAAGACAGAATAAACTCCCTCACCATCTATGACCAAAAGACTTTTTAAAGTCAGTTTATTGTAAAGGATTGAAAAAGTAAATGTAAGGTATAATTTTCAGTCATCTAAGAACAATTGCTGAAATTTCATGAAACCAGGATCTTAGAAATTATCTTAAGTAGATCCACATGTGCAGGCACTTTATACCTTGAGGCCAAACTGTTTACATTCTCTCTGGTACAGGCACAGGATTCTTTCACGCCGCAGACTGTAAGGACAAGGAATGGGATGGCCCCAATTTTAAGAATTATTTAAGGAAATATGATTGTTATGCACAAGAATAGTTTGCTTTTTTTAGATAGATTTCAATTGTATCTGATATTTCAAACAAAAAATCTTTAGCATATTTCTAAAGTTAGTATGATTTTGTTTTTTAATTAGAAGTGTCTGTCATTGAGTTTGGGTGGTGAAAGACATGAATCCCCTGTGACATGATCAATTGGATGGAAGTATCACCTGTCAGACGTTATTTATGTTATTACTATCACTTGAATGATTGACTTGTTAACTCTGTAAGCTGCACAGGGCAGAAACACTGCCTGCAAAGATTTAAACATGTATTTGTCTCCAGTCAACCCACTGGGTGGTTTTAGCAGGAAACCAGAGGAGGCAGAAATCCAGGTGGAGGTGTGCTGTGAGCTTGGTGCACTCCCACCTTCCGAGATGCTTCTCTCGTAGCCCTGTCCCTGTGGTGAGCCCTTTGTTGAATGACCGCAGCTACAACAGTTATTTGTGGTGATTGATGTAAAGTACAACAGTACTAATGCCACGTACGTCACGGCAACTCATCAAACTTAATGCAATGCAGCACTTGCCTCAGTACTGGAGAAATGCCTAGAGCTGTGGTCGGCAAACTGCGGCTCACGAGCCATATGCGGCTCTTTGATCGCTTGAGTGTGGCTCTTCCTAAGCTTTAGGAGTACCCTAATTAAGTTAATAACAATGTACCTACCTATATAGTTTAAGTTTAAAAAATTTGACTCTCAAAAGAAATTTCAATCATTGTACTGTTGATATTTGGCGCTGTTGACTAACGAGTTTGCCGACCACTTAGAGCATGCGTTAAGCTGCTTCTGCCTTCCCAGGGAATCTCCCATTTATATTTATATTTAACTATGAGTTCTCCACCTTTTTGAAAATGAAAATGATTAACCTACTATTATGAGGTTAAAGGTGGCTGCATTTGGGTTTTTAATATGAAATCAATCATGAATCGAAACACTTTACTAGGTACCTTCTCTGTCAAGTAGTGTGGTTTCTTTCACCTTGTTGCATTTGTGCCCAATTGATTACATATTATGTTAGTCCCTTCCCATAAACTTCTTTGGACACACATATGGGAACTTTATATTGATATATAATATACAGCTAATATGTGAATGCCTATGAATTGTAGGTATACATTATAACTATAGGGTAAATGGTTATGTTGCTCCACATTCTTCAAATTGATCTGTCTCTAAGCAAGCAACTTAAAAATTATTTGGAGTGAGTAGAGTTAGCAG